GTTCCCAAGAGTCTCCTGGGGCAGGAGAGGGGACCACAGGCCAGGCTCCCGGTCTCAGTTCTGACTCTGCTGGGTGTCAGGCTGTGTGACTCTTGGTCTCTCTGAGCTCCAGTGTTTTCTCCTCTAGCCTGGGGTCTAATAGTCCCACCATGAGCTGGTTAGGAGGGGCCTGGGTGAGGCTGAGGCAGATACGTGCCCCTCCCTGTAGCAAAATTACTCTAGGGACTGGAGAGCCTGCTGCTTCTGCAGTCCTCCCAGGAGGGAGGTGCTGTGCTTACCAATCCCACTGTACAGGTGGAGATACTGAGGCATGGGGTGGTTAGGGAGCTTAGCCGTGGCACCCAGCCAGGAAGCACAGTGCTGGCATCCAACCCTCAGGGTCCACCTGAGGCAGGAGGCTGGGGTGGGTGGGAGATGCTCAGACACCTGTGCACAGGAATGGGGGGCAGGTCCCCGCTCGGCCTTGCCGTGTGAGGCGGGGGAGAGGTAATGGGAAGCCAGATAGACCTCTCCTCTGCAGAAAAGAGTGAGGGAGGAGGCGTGGGGAAGGTGGAGGGTGAGCAGAGGAAACAGCTTCCTTGAAGGAGCTGGAGCAGCCATTGTGTCCAAGCTTGAGCCCGGGCAGTGAGAAGTGGTGGAAGTGGCAGTGGGGTGCCAGACTCCCACATGACCTCATGTAGCCCCCATGGTGTAGGGTCACCTCTGGCCATGGGTCCCCCCAGAAGTTGTCCTGGAAAAGGAGGTAGGATGTAGGGAGGCTGTAAGGGCCAGTTGCTGAGAGCAGCAGGATGGGCTCCCCCGTGCTGGCCTCTTCTGAGGCCTTTCTGCTTCCTCCTCCCTCTGGGCCTTGGGGCGTGCTGTTTATCCTGCCTGATTTGGGCCTAGCAATGGGCCCTAAGGGAGGCCACCCAGAGGGAACCAGGGAGGATCTGCCTTGAGCCTCCAGGAAAGTGGCCAGGAGAGTCCCCACCTTCTCCCCCAGCAGACAGGACTCAGTGGGACTCGCCCAGGCATCACCACCATCCTAATTCACACCTGCCCCCTGCAGCCTTACAGGGCTGGGAGTAAGTTTCTAGCTGTCAGGACCCCGGAGGACAGTGGCTGCCTTAGGACAGCTGGTCTCCAAGTGGCTCCTAGAATTCCTGCAGGATTCTTGTATTTTTTCAGTCTGTAACTGAGAAGCGGCTTTACTGTGATGCATTTGTGGGGATGAGGTACACCCCCCATCCTGACCGGGGAACACTATCCTGGCTGTGAACTTGCCTCCATCCTCTGCCCTGGGCCAGGCATCTGGTCCTCACAGCGCCCTGGAGAGGGAAGGGTGCTCCTGTGATCCCCATCTATACACAAGAAACAAGTGAGCAAAACTGCATCCCCAAACACATAAATAAGGGGCATTCCAGAGTAGTCAGGACCCCCAGGCCAGGTGTGTCCAGTGTGGTCTTGACCAGTGCCTTCTGGGAAGCTAATGGTAATTCCTGGGCAAAGCTGGGTCTCAGCCTGCAGCCAGGGCTGAGCCAGGAACCAGATGTGGAACGGAGGCCCCACACTGCTTAGAGCCTCTTCAGGCATTTGGGATGTGAGGCCGGTGACCCTCTCAGACCTGGCTTTCTGTGGGGATGCTGCTCTGTGCACTCCTGCAAAGGACTTAGCATCTCTGGGCCTTGGTTTTCTCACCTGCAAAATGGGCAGCCAATCACAGGAAAGGGTAGAGTTAAGGAAAGCAGAAGAGGACCCCAGGAACCCGTGGCCAGCTGCCCCCACAAGCTGAGAAGTGAGTCCGGCTGCTGATCTGCAGTGGGAGCCTTAGAGCAGCAGCCAGGTCGTGAGTGGAAGGGGCTGGTGTCACCCAGGTCTGGTTCTCAGCCTGAGGAGTTTGTGGCCAGTGGCAGCTGCTATCAGGAAGGGGAATCAGTGTGCAGGGGGAAGGGAGGTGGTCTGCGGGCTTCCTGGATGGGGTGGCCTCTGAGTCACCTGCCTCAGGGCTGCCTGCCTCATGGATGGGGAGAAGGACTTTTGGGGAGGAGGGTAGGTAGTGGGTACCAAGACTGGAAGTGTGACCCTACCTGGGGGGATCTAGTACTCTGTGGGGTCAGAGCTCTGGATGTAGGACTGTGGGGGTGGGATTGTGTCCAGAGGAGCTCAAGTGCCACCTGCAGGACCTTGAGAGGTATCTCTGGCCCTGGAAGGGGTGGATACAGTGGAGAGGCAGGAGGGAGCCTGGTGTAATCTGAGGCCTGGGCAGGCAAGGACTGGGTGCAGAAGAGTGATCTGGGAGGTAGAAATGGGTCAGACTTCAGGATCGATTGGATTTGGAGGGCACAGGAAGGTCACAGAGAATAGCACAGAGGCCTACAGAGTGATGTGACAGCCGGTGGCACCCGTAATGTGGGTGAAGGAACTGAGTGATGGGGATGGGGAGTGAGGCAGAACCTAGCAGGGGAGGCCTGTGCACAGGTGGGTGCAGGTAGCACAGGGTGTATAGTGCTGGGGACAGTTGGGGAATCTGCAGGTCCTGGCTCAGGGGCACCCTGAAGCTCCTGGTCAGGAAACCACTCAGGCAGGGAACCAGCAAACCCTGGTCCCCTGCTTTTGTTTGTAAATACAGTTCTGTTGGGACACACCACACACTCCCCCAAGAGCTGGCCACAGCGGTCTTCATACCACAGTAGCCAAGCTGAGTAGCTACAGCAGAAACTGATGACCCATAAAGCCTGAAAAACTTGCTTTCTGGCCCTTTTCAGAAAGTGGCTGCTGATTCCTGCCTTTAGGGCTTAGTAGGTAGGGTGGGGACATAATCTGACTTGCACTTTTTACCCTCCCTGAGGCTTAAGTGTGGACCCTCAAGGTGGATAAGGAGCCTGCCACTATTGGCTGTGTTGATCCTGAATTAAGGGTGACCAGGGCCTTCAGATGGAGGGCAGGAAAGAGGAGCAGAGGGCATCCCAGTGCTGGCCAGTTGCTGAGATTTGGCTGCAGAGTGTATGCAGGGGGTACGAGGTGTCCTGGAGAGGTTAGTGGGAGGTACCTGGCAACAGAGGCCTCAGCCCTGGGGGTGCAGGGTCACAGGGTTGAAAGGGTGTGACCAGGGTCCTGCGGGGTGGCAATTCCTGCTCTTCTGAGAATAAGGACTGGTTAGCTCTGTTCCAAGCAGAGCCAGAGGAGTAGGCAAGGGGACGGGGTCTCGGGACTCTGGATGGCGACATTCCTCTTCCTCCACCTGCAGCATCCACAACGGGGTGATCGCCGTCTTCCAGCGCAAGGGGCTGCCAGACCAGGAGCTCTTCAGCCTCAACGAGGGTGTCCGGTGAGTGCCCCACACTTGGGCCAGCTGTGGGTGGCAGGGAGGGCTGAGCCCAGGCTGGGATGCCCTGGCCAGGCCCCTGACTCACCCAGGCCATGCTTAGGGTTCCCTCTCAGAGGCCAAGTCAGTGGTAACTGTGGTGCTGGGTTGCGTTTCCCAAGCTACCATCTGGGCCTTGACCTTAGCCAGCTGCTTCCAGGCCCGGTGGGCCGGAGCCCCCAACCCTGCTGAGGACGGTCTTTGGGGGAAGCCGGGTGGGGCCTGGACAGCACCTCACAGTGACGCCCAGAGTTCGCTGCTGGTGTCCAGCAGCACAAAGGAAATTTATTCTGTTAAAGAGGAAGGACCCACCTGGCTAATGACTGGAGTATCATTCCCGGAAAAGCAATCACAGCCAGCTAAATGCCCTCATTTCCTGTGAAGAGCTGGGAAATGAGGATTGTGAAGCAGGAGGATGTACGCATGCCCCCTACTGCTGCCAGACCAGGCAGCCTCGAGGATGATCTCCAGGCGTGCGTGTGTAGTGGAGGAGGTTGAAGCTCAGAGAGGTCAAGAGACTTGCCCAGGGTCACACAGCTGCTGTAAGATGGCATTTCCTTGTTCCCTGCCGTTTCCCTCAACCCTGAGCCTCAGCCCTGTCCATGTCAGAAAAACGCTGGAAAAACTTGAGAATAAGAGTAAATGGGACAGGTCAGATTTTCATTCTTAGGTGCCCTGCCCCCAACCCATGTGGCAGAGCTGAAAGGGCCCATACATATGGGTAAACTGAGGCCACTGTACGTGGTTCGGGGAATCCTGCCTCGCTGTGGATCATCCATGGGGTGGGGCCCCGTGTTCCTGACATTCTTCTGCTTTGGGAAGCAGCCGCTCATAATAAGCCTGAAGACTCCGCTGGTCCCTGAGCAGCACAGTGACCCCCCAGAGGGGGTAGGGTGGTTCCAGCTGCTTGGGAGGCTGAGGCAGGAGGATTGCTTGAGCCCAGGAGTTTGAGGTTATAATGAGCTAACGATAATAACACGGCACTCCATCCTCAGCCTGGGCAAAAGAACAAGACCCTGTCTCAAAAGAAAAAACAGGAATCTGCTGGATATTTGAACAACAAACAAGGGCTGTTAGGTTCAGAGACACAGCAGCGGGCACAGGCCCAGAGTTGGGCCACCTTCCCCAGCCCCCTACCCCTGGGCCTGAGCAGTGTGGGTAGGCATCAGAGGCTTGCTGCCTCCTATTCTCCCTGGGCCCAAATCAGCCTGCCCCTTGGGTGCTGGCACAGAGCAAGCAGCCTCCCTGGGAGTGCGTGCTGGGGACGTGGAGAAGCCACCCTGGGGCCCACCAGTCCAGGATCCTTACCCAAAAAAAGGTGTAGAAATTGGTGTAGTGCAGGACTTTGAGCTCCTGGGCAGCTAGGTTATCTGGGGCAACTTCAGCCAATTCGAAATTTCTAGGAATCTTTAATAGTAGCAAGATGTTTTTCTTGAAGTCTTTCTCTGTGCCAGTCTTAGGCCTGGAGTGTTGTACACCTTAAACTCATTCCTTCTTCCATGCAGTCCTAAGGGGTGGACGCCACATTGTCTCCACTTTACAGATGAGAACACGGAGGCTCAGAGCAGTTGAATGTGTTGGTCGCTAGTCATAGAACTGGCAGGTGGAGCTGGAGCTCAAGCCCCAGACCCATGGCCTGTGGATTGTTCAGAAATATCCCCTCACTCCCACTCTAGCTCTTGTTCATTTGGCCACATTACATTAGGTGAATTGAAATATGCATTAAGTCCAGAATTGGTCACTAGCGTTGATCCCATGAGAGAGTCTGTGGCTGGAGCCATTGATGTGCCAGCATCTGAATATTCCCTCTCAGTTCTTAAGGCTGGTTAGTGAGGTTGGGGGTCGGGGGTCCCCTTGCCTTGCCAGGCACAGGTAGGTAGGTGGGACCAGGCTGGAATAGTAAGACAGGACTATGATGTCTGCAGTATTTTGTGTGTGTGTTTAAAATTTTTATTGAGATATAATTCATATATCATAAAATTTGGCCTTTTAAAGTTTACAATTCAGTGGCTTTAGCATATTCAACAAGGCTGTACAACCATCACCACTGTTTACTTCTAGAACTTTTTTTTATTTTATTTTTTTCTTTTTTGAGACAGAGTCTCACTATGTCTCCCTTAGTAGAGTGCCTTGGCGTCACAGCTAACAGCAACTTCAAACTCTTGGGCTTAAGTGATTCTCTTGCC